ACCCTTCTCTTCTATAAAAACCTTACATTTTGTACAACCCCTCAGAATGTTTTTCTAGTTGCTATATAGGATGCGCTGTAATTCATAAATCACTTAATAGAGTTAATTTGGTCTTCAAATTTACTTGGCTGAATGTGTTCTTTAACATTGATAGGGAAGAACAGCCTTCCTAGGAATGCTAAATAAATCCACATAATCCTTCTGTAGAGCTTACATTGCTATCTTTGCCTACTGTCCCTCACCCTGTAATATGGGAACTAAATGACCGATGCTCAGTCTTAAGCATAAATTCAAGTGGAAGCAATGATTCTTCTCTTGATTGCTCCAAACCTTAGACAAAGATCAAAATATTCAAAAAGCCATTGTTGATAATATCAATGCAATAACAGCAAATTTACTGGAGTCCAAAACACTGACAATCTGACTTAAAGATTTAGGCTGTTTTCTGTGTGAGCAAGACCACCTCATTCACATGGGTGAAGAATGGGGACTCAGGAGAGATCTTGCTGAGACCCTCCCTTCTTTGATCCTCTTCTCTCACCACATGGTGACATTACATTTAGCCTACAAACCAAGCATTTCTAGACCATCTTTACTCCTCTTGGTCTAGACTTACACTGTCCAGTACTCTGGCCATTCACCACATATGGTTATTGAATACCTGAAATGTGGCCAGTCCAAATTGAGATGCTGTGTAAGAGTTAAATACACACCCAGGTTTCAACACTTGGTACATGTATGTGTTTTCCATTCCTGTTATAAAAAAATATTATAAACTTAGTGGCCTAAAACACCCATTCATCATCTCTGTGTTCTGTGGTCCAGAAGTGTGTTCTGTGTTCTGTGGTCCAAGCAGGGGGTTCAGCTGAGCCCCCTGCTTGGAGTCTCACAGGCCAAAATCGAGGTGTCAGCAGGGCTGCAATCTTCACTGGAGGCCCTGGAGTACTCAGGTTGTGGGCCCAGTTCAGTTCCTATGGCTGTAGGGCAGGTCTTGTTTCCTTCCTGGCTATGACCCAGGACTTCTCTCAGCTCCAGAAGGCTACCTTCATTCCTGGTCACATTGGCCCTGCCATCTTTAAACCAGCCATACAGCATGTTGAATCCTTCTCATGCCTTGAATTTCTCTGACTTCTCTTTCTGTCATATCTCTTCTGCTGATGGGCTGAGTAAAAATTAATTCTCCTGTTTATTTTTACTTTTTGATGAATTATAGCATTTTTTTCCATTTAGAATTATAGCATTTTAAAAGTGCTCATGTGGCTTATATCTATACCTTACATTACACTTCTGTTGACCATCACCAATCTAGACCTAGAGAGAGGTTACATCCTTTTTACCATTCTCATAGTTTGTGACATCTGCTCTGTGGAGCCCCTTCTCTATCAGTGCTTCCCTTACCATCAAGTATGGCCTTATACTTTTAAGCCTCTTTCATACAAGGGATACTTAAATATAGTGATGGAGCATAAAGTGATGGAGCATGGAGATGTGGGTGCACGGGCTCATTTCCATGTAAGGAAGGCCTCCAGTGAGGCCTATACCTGATAACCCTATACCTGAGATCTATACCTGATAACCCTATACCTGAGAGCTATACCTGATAACCCTATACCTGAGAGCTATACCTGATAACCCTATACCTGAGATCTTTACCTGATAACCCTATACCTGAGATCTATACCTGATAACCCTATACCTGAGATCTATACCTGATAACCCTATACCTGAGATCTATACCTGATAACCCTAATGATTACTGAGTTTGCCCTATCTTTTTGTTTCTGGTGGTTGGCACACAGGTGGGTCCTTTCAATGAATATTTGCTAACCTAACTGAATCTAGATGTTTGTGATTGACCTGTTAAAAGCAAAAACAAAAAAAATTTGGAAAATAAGTTAACTGCCTCCAGTATACCCTAATAATGACAAACACTTCCCTGCTGAAGTGAGAGGACAGCTTTCATTTCAAACTAAAAGCTAAACAATATTTACTAGTTACATGTCTTTAGGAAACAAGAGTGATGATACTTGGGGAAAAAATTTTACCAAATGAACACTCTAATTAACCAAATGTTCTCATTACTGTGCACTTTATTCGGCTTTGGTGAGTAAACCAAACTGATGAATCTGTGACTGTTTTCAAAACTGCATTTTAAAAAGATTTTTTTGGATGTGCCATTTTTTGGATGTCTGTAAGGGTGTTTAATTTTGTTTATTTAATTTAGCACAATACCAAAATGTTTCCACTAGTGATGTGAGGCTTCATCCACTGTACTTTGCACTTCACCTAGCAGGAGGCCAGGTCATTTGTGGATGTAGAAGAACAGGCCACAAAAGGGCATGTATCCCGACCTCATCCTCCAACCACGGGCAAAGCAGAAACCCTTTCCAGAGCTTCGCTTCTATTTCTTGATCTGTACCTAGTCTCAGCCCCAGGTGTGATCTTGCACACTAGGCAAAATCATCCTGACACTCTCCTAGTCCATCAGCTACAGAGCTAAAGATCCTCTGAGCAGTTAGGATTGCTGAGAGAGCTCAGGCTACTGAACGTTTCTCCACAGCCAGACAGAAAACCTAGAGCAAGATGGAATCAAGAGAAACTCCATGCATCTCACTCCCATTGTCCTTCTCAGTAATCTTCCTGACTCAAAGGAAGAAAACTATACCAATAAAAAGATAATATAAATAAGTATTTCAAAGTTTACTAATTAAAAGGACTTAGAGATGGAGTGAGGCATTCTTCAAAATCTGTTGACATGGCTTTGTGGACTTTATTGCTGATCAGCATTTTTCCCCTCAAGAAAAACAGAACAGCAACATTTGTTCAAAAAAAAAAAAGCAAATTGTATGTTTCTTCCTTTCTTATTACTTTTATTGTTTGAGGTTTCTTTTAGACTGTAATGTGGCATTGTGATTTTGAGATGGAAAAAAAAAATCCCTTGTCTTTCAAACGTAAGAATGTGATTGTATGCTATTGTTGCCAACAATGAGCTAAAGAGGTTAATGGATCACATATCTGGCAAACAGCCATCTTTCCTCCAGCTCAATGTATTAAACAATATACATTTCATTGCTGCTGTTCAGCTTATGATTTTGTCTGAGTAGTTGGTAAATAAGTTTACTTGCATTTGTCTTGTTCTAGAACTCAACAGCTTTGTCCTTCAGACTGTATCCCAAAATTTAAAAAGTGACGTTTGAAATCAGAGTCATGACCTTTGGATGTTATGGTCAGAGGAGGCCTAGGGAAGGGGGTGGGCGGGCTGTTAAATGAGAATCTAGAATTATTGTGCATTGCCAGTTGCATCCAACCTTTCATTTTCGGGCTGCCTAAGTTAACATAGTAAAATTACCATGATAAAAAAGAATGAATCCTGGAGAAAGCACCACAGTTCTTTCTAGTGTTGTTTCCAGGGATCATTCCAACAGGCCTCCAGTTAAATGGACCAGTTCTCTCCACCCACCCCAGGGGTTGACTCAACTTTGCATTCTAAGACTGTCATTTGAAAACAGACAAGCAGTCATAAGCAATAAGGCTGGAATCCCCCACCTAAAGGACTTTTCTGTGTACTGCATTTTACTGTGAAATTAGCAAGAGACCTAATACCTCAGCAGGAAGAAAAAAAGGGTTATTTTTAGGAAACTCTAAAGGAAAAAAAGTTTATTAATGAGAAAGAGAACAGTTTTCACAGAATCTTTGGTTGGGTGGGGAGCAGATATAAAGGAGGGGACTAGAGTTGGGAGAGAAACAACGTATCAGTCAGATCAGGTGGGATCCTTTCAATCAGGCCAAAAGCACAGTAACTAACTAGCTCATAGAGTCCCCTTGCCCACTGCTTTTGCTGGACACAAGAGGGACATCAACTGAATTGGGAAGGCGAGTTCGAAAAACACTGAACCCTGATCTCCGCTTCCCAGCTAGGCGGTGATCGCCCCCTGTGACTCTGGACGCACACAGCAGTCTGACAACCACCGCTGACCGCCCCCCCCCGCCCGACCCCTCACGAACTCAGCTCTCCAGCCTGGTAAGCTGGAGCGACACACGACCTCACTGGACACCTGTATGTCCCCAAGCTCCAGGTTTAGGCCCCTCTCACCCCAGAGAGATCGGTCTCAGAAACTCAGTGATTGAGTGCCTCTGACTTCTAGATCCCCGGGTTCTGCCATTCTGGTCACTTCGGCAGGTTTTCCAAGCAAAGATCTCAATCCGGCGGGGAGTCCTGCACACCCACCCCACTCCCTACCGCGCAGCTGGCCAGCAGTTCTGGGTGGGACAAAGCAGGACCTCCGCCTCTGGGTAAATCCTCTCCTTTCCTTTCTCTGCCTAAAACCCTGCCCACCTCCTGCAGCAAGCTGCTGGGGTGGGTGCGCCCATCTCTCCCCCAAGACACCTGCGCTTCTTTCCCCACCTTTCCCCGCCCTTTACGCTGCGGTCGCTCCACTGCCTTTGGGAGCTGGGGAGCAGCAGCTGGAGAAGGAGCAGGGAGAGGAGGGAGAGGGCGAGGAGGAGTAGGGGCGGGGTGGGTGGGGAGAGAGCCCAGAGGGTGTGGACTGGCAGCCACTCTGCAGCTGGTTGCCGGGGACCCGGTCCCTCCCGTGCGCCCGAGTGATGGAGGGGAAGAGATTCGCTTAGACACACACGCTCACACAGCTGGGCACGTCTCTGGGAGGCAGCTGCTGGCTGGGGAGCGCCAGGGGCTGGGCGGCGGCCGCGACAGCGCCAGCCGCTGGAAGCTGGGAGCCCGCACGGCTTGGCACCGGTGGCTCCAAGACCCAAGAAGGGAAGAACCGAGCCACACTGACTGTTGCCCTTTGGGGTGGATCGGGAAGGAGCAGGCTTCCCAAGGAGCTGTCACTGAGGACGCCAGAGGCTCTGCCCTCAGCACACTGAGTCCGTGGTTGTGGTCGCGCTGGTGCCCGCACGGTGCGAGGAGGATGCGCCCTTCTTCCCGCAGAGCGGCTGCGGGCCCCGGCAGTGCGCGGACTCGGGCTCCGGCGGCCGCCCGTGCCGTGCCCGCGCCGCGGGAGCGCGCCCTGCCGCACCTGGCTCCAGTCTCCCGGGGAAGTGCAGGAAACGCTCCCTAAACTACAGTACGTACTTCTCGCCCGATTCCTGCTCCAGCAGGTTCCCCACCCGGGACCTCGCAATCGCAGCAGCGGTTGCTTCCTGAGTGTCGGGCCCGCCCGCCTCTCACTATCACCCGTGCAAGCACAACCCGCGGGCTCGCTCGGCTCCACGCAGACTCTGTCTCCGCCGCGCCCAAACTCGGCATCCGAAACTACTGGACCAACTGCCGCCGGGACTGCAGGAGCCGCCCAGTGGCCTGGTGCGACCCCGCTGCTGGTCCCGGGCTCTGGGCTTCCTCCTGCGCCTCAGCCGCCTCAGACACGGTGAGCAGGGCGCACTGCCCGCCTAGCGTCGGGGAGGGGTTCGGGAACAGCGCTGAAACCTCTTAAATTTGGGGGGAAATGATAGGGGGAGAAATCGACCAGGGGTGACGTCCACGCGATGCCAGCCAAATCACTTTTGTGAGGCGCAGTACTGCTGGGCACTGCCTAGGGAAGACTTTTGAGACATTTGCTGGGGCTCAGGGTTAAACTAGAGCGATATGAAAAACTGCGGGTTGATTCCTTGGGTACATTTAGAGTCTTCAGTGTCGGTGAGTCAATCTGAGTCTCGCCCTAAGGCGGGGGCAGTGCCTTGGGCTCTCTTTCGGGCAGACAGGCAGCATGCGTTTAATTGCGCTTGGCGGAGTTTGGGGGCTCACTGGGCCACTTCCCGGAGTGGCAGTGGGGCTGTCGTTTGCAGCGCGAGATGCCTTGGGTGAAGTAGGGGCCTGTGAGGCCAGAGCAGAGGGCAGAGGGCCGGCAAAGGCTCAGTGAACTTGAGCATGGGGTGCATTCTCCTCCCCAGCTGCCCCCACCCCTTGCAGACCCAGTCCCCGCCCCCTACTAGCTCCAGCTCATTCAACCAGTCCCACCCACCACGCACACACACAGGAGTTGGATGCCATCGAGGGGTGGTCAGATTGTTATTACTAAGAGGTGCAGGAGGTCACTCTAGCTACTGAATGCAGCACTGAGACTCCAGCTTCTGGGACTCGGATGACAGCCTTGGTTTAGGAAAGCAAGGAGCGCCCAGCCTTCTGTGGCTGCCGCTACCTGGTGTTTCCAGGTGCACAGAGAGCAAACCTCCGACGAACTCCAGTCACTTCACCTGGCTGGGCTCCGCTCTCTGACTTCCCTCCTCGGAGTGCTTCAGGGCACCCACCCAAGGGAGCTGCTGCTCAGATCCCCGGTCTCCCCAGACCTGGCCCGGTAGGTAGGTCTCCCTCCCAATGTCCCGCCCTCCCTCCAATACCAGCTTCTTCATGGAAAATATTGATTACTTAAGGAGAGGTTTAATATTTGCAAAGTGCTTTATATCATATTACTTCGTGGATACATTTAATTGCACTGTAACTCTTCTCTGATTTATGAAAACTTAGTCTGATAAATTGCATACAGGGTCCGATTGGTGAGGGAATGAGAGTGGGCGGGCAAGCTTTCTGTAAAGGTGCTCTTTCTAAACTGATTTGCTAGAAGTGATATAAAGCTGGTGCTTCTGAAAGATTTTGCTCAGTAGTTTTGACTATTCCAGGGCTTTAGACAAATGTTTTCACATTAAAATTCATTTCAAATATATTCACCCTCTATTCCAAGAAAAAAAGTTGAAAAGAAGATAAAGTGTTTGCAAATTTAGATATCAAAAGTATTTTTTAAATGTTTGTATTGGTATCAATTATGTTGTATGTGGCAGATTTTAAGTGACCTTAGTGGTTTCTCCTAGAGAAACTCTTAGAAGGAGAAATGAAAACAATACTACTTACTTTCCTCCCTGTGTTTGTGTACAAAAGGTCCTTGCTTAACGTGACCGAATGAGCAGCAGGGTAGGCTTCTTGACTTTAGGAATGTGAAGTCAGTCACCAGTGAATTGATGGAGACACACACACATATTACAACAAACATAATGATGGGACGAAAACTTGCTTAAATTTAACTGCCTCTGGTGCAGAGAGTTTTAACAGGGAAGAAATGAAAACTGTTCTGGCTCCTTCCAAATTATTCTCCACCATTTTAAAATAGTCTTTTCTAAATTAATTAAAAATATATAGACACATCATTAATAATGTAAAATTGTGTTCAAATAGATGCCTAAAGCAGATTATCTGGCAAATTATGGAGTTTCACAGAAGCACTAGGATCATGGTTTCTAGGTTAAGCTAGACCTCAAGCTTAGATTTTAATATTGGAAGTTGCTTCCTTTGATGTCTTTGTGGGAAGATGCTGCTTACAGTGTGCTGATCGTGCTCACAACATTGTCCTTACCATTTCACAGGCACCCACAGATGTTTTTGAATGAATAACCTTCTTACTCACTGAATTTTCACTCATTCAAAAAGTATTTATTGAGCACATGAGCACTCACGATGTGCAAAGCTGAGCTGAGTGTTATTTTAAACAAGAAAGGATCTTCAGAAGCAGCAAGGTGCTTACTCCTACACTGTAAAAGGGACTGCAGAGCAGTGGCTTGCTTAGTGAAGCAGCATCTTGGCCCAAAGTAGGTGGTCAGCAGAGTCCTTGATTCAAAAATCATACAAGATGTTTACCAGCCAACTTTGCTTTCCCCATAAATTCCACCATTGTTCTTAACCCACCGCGTCATTTAGATATGACTTCTTAACTTCATAGAATCGACATTGACTTTAATCTTCTTGCTCTCACTCTGAATATTTTGGAGAACTGTAACTATCTGTGCATTGCTCCAGCTTTCTGTCCATGATTTCTACGGAACAGTGCCAGATCTGCACATGCCAGTAGTATTCATTTATGAGTAAATGCACATGTTCCTGTTGCATTAAAAAAGCAAACTCACATTCATAGAACACAACAAATATTTTGCTCCTTTCTTTTCTTATCTCTTTACAACCTCGGAAACAGTAATCTCTCTTAACAGTGCAATTATACTATGTAAATTAGCAAGTTAACAAAAATGATTATTTAGGACTTTCTAGAAACAGGAAAAAGTCTTAGGGAAATTTTAGCTCAGGAGAATTTTCCTTGACTCTTTTGACATGTTTGGCAGGATGGCCTTTTATTTTGGAGACTTTTATTCATGAATGAAATAACTCTCAGGGCAGCTCGCTATTAAGGGAGCTGGCAGAAGAGGGAATGCTTGCTCAAAATGATCTGGAAAGCTCTGAGAATAGAGTATGAGTATAAATAATAGTAGGTTTGTGCAATCAAAATTATGTGAATGCTAACATTTTATTGGTCTTTATATGCATATGTTTTCAGATTTTTTTAAATACTCTTTTCAAATACTCATATTCTGAAGTTATTGCAGTTACATGAAGAGTGACTATTTGGTAATGGAATTATAGTTTGTTTTGCTGTAGGAAAAGGTAAAAGTTTGAAAAGAGAATAAATCAAATTAAGGGAATAATTATTCAAACCACAAATTGATTTTAATTTAAGTCCTGTCTTTTTTTTCCCCAAAGGGAAGGGAGAACTCAAAACCAAAATAACTAGTTAAAATTTCATTATGACTTACATTGTCACTATTTAGAAAAGTCTTTACATTTTATTTTTTCTGTGAATATAATACAAATCTTTTTATGTGCTATAGTGTTTTGATCCATTCATTTGCTGATGGGCACTTAGGCTGTAATATAAATTTTTAAAAACCAGCAAAAGTGTAACACTTTGTTCCTAAAATCCTATTTAATTGTTAAAAAAAATTGCTTACTCTAGAATCAGTGTTTGTTTCTGAGTCACAATCTTAAACTAACCTTTACAGCAGAAGTACAATGAAAGCAAGATATTAATAATTACATATAAACTCGCAGATCTAAGTCAAAAACATTTCAGAGCAGCTAACACTTATCAAAAGTAGAAGCAAAAGATATCTGAAGATCCACATAATATTTAGGCACGATTGAAAAACATCTCTAAATTTCATATGCAAATTCCATTATCATGTTTTACTTAATTAACATTTGGTAAAATAGATTATTTTCCATCTTCTTGAAAATTTTTATGAAAGCAAGCCGTGTCAGTACTAAGAATTAGTTGACTAGTTGGTTTGACTTTGAGCCACTTTACCTAGATTGTGCATGGGCGGCAGATTTTTTTATATGTACACATGCGTGCTCATACATATGGAAGATATATATATTATATTTGTATAATATATATGTGTTTTTCTCTAGTAACTTTGAACAATAGAGAGTCTCCTTTGTAGCATATATGGTTTGCGAAGTCGGCATCATCTTGAAAATAGTACTTATAAATACTCAGCTAGTTTGTGATTTCACTCGTGTGTGGGATATAAATTTGAAACTTGGACACAAACAGTGTGGTGGTTATCGGAGGGAAGGGCTTGGGGTGGGGGTGGACGGGGTCTACCACGTGGTGGCAGAAGGCAGTTTGACTGTGGGTGGTGGACAACAGTGCAATATACAGATCTCATACCGTAGAAGTGCACATTTGAAACCTACGTGATCCTATTAACCAGTGTCATCCCAACAAATTCAATAAAAAAGGTTTTTAAAGAATTGAGACTGAACTTCTTTAAAGAACTTATTTAAGAAACACATTTGATAACCTTTAGTGTGTGCCTAATACTCTAAAGGCTTACACTAATATTAACTAACTTAATTCTGGTAGCCGCCCTCCTTGACCCCATTTCACAGAGATAAGTAGTTGTTATTGTCCCCATTTACATGAGGAAACTGAGGCTCGGGGAGCCTAAATCAGTGGCTCATTTTCCACAGCTAATAAATGACAGAGCTGGCATGTGAGCCCAAGCAGTGCACTATGCTATGCCACTGCTCTTGAACAGATACATGTATTTTTTATTTTTAAGTATTTTTTAGCAATTTATTTATTTATTTTTAGAGAAAGGGGAAGGGAGGGAGAAAGAGGAGAGAAACATCAATGTGTGGTTTCCTCTCAGACACTCCCTACTGGGGACCTGGCCCACAACCCAGACATGTGCCCTGACTGGGAATCGAACCAGCAATTCTTTGGTTTGCAGGCTGGGACTCAATCCACTGAGCCACACCAGCCACAGATTGAACAGACATATTTTAAACTTACTTAAATATGGATCCAAGTGTAGAGCAAGTTAAGTCGTAAAGCAGATACCGTCTAGCAGCTGAGTTTGTGACAGTTCTAACTGAGAGTAGATTCTTAAGGAAGGCGCTTGTCGTGAACCACTGACGGAACCTGAACTAGAGAGACACTAGGACAGGGCTGTAACTTCATGTTTTTTCTAATGGACTCAGTAATTTTCTTAGGTTCAGCTACTTTTAAATTAAGTGACTTTAAGAACTGATGCCAGTTTTAAT